TGTTCCCCTCCCCTGCTCGCTGCCCTGCCGTCTCTTCTCATTGTTCTGGGTCTTGGCCACACAGACCTTCCAAAATAACTGCACAGTTGTCATCATTGTTTGGGAGGCTGTTTTGGAACATTGGCTTAGCTGGTGATGCGAGGGGATCCAGGAAGGGCCCAGCTGTCGGGAGGCCCGGGGACTCGGGGAGCTGGGGGCGGAGAGGCGGTCACAGCGCCTGGGCGCAGGAGCTTCGGGGTGGGGGGAGTGCCCAGAGGTAGCATGGTTTTGGCAAGTGTTGAGTCTTGGGGAGGGGAATTGGGAAAGAGGGAGGAGAAAGGATGAGAGGTGGGTGTAGGTTGGAGGGAAGCTATTATTGAAGCTGGAGGAAGATACCAAGAGGACAGTGGTTCGCAGAGGAAGGGAGGGAAGAGCCGGTGGGTGCCGAGGGCCCCATTGGTGTTTTGGCATGTTGTTTAGAGAGTAATTTCTGTGGCCTGGAGAACTCGTCCATGGGCTGATAGAAAAGTAAGTGGAGCAGAGGGACTTGAGGACTAACGGGCAGCTTGGTGTCGAGTCAGGGGACACCCTGACGTCCTCAGCTCTGTGGCTGGGGGTCAGACAGCTCCCCAGCCTCCAGCTTTGCAGAGACGGGGAGAGGGTGGACACATCTCAATAGGTGTTAGGATGGAGCAGAGGGGCAGGTGAGTGTGAAAGGGGCAAAGGTGAAATTCTCCTTTCTGTTTAAGTGGTCTCTTGATTTCACAGGCTAGTAGAAACAGCCTATCATGAGTTAAAAACTCTGTTTCGCTGGTTCTTGCACGCCGTGATCTCACCGAGTCTCTGGCCCCCCCCCAAGCCTGCTTCAAGCATCTGGGGTCCCGTGACATGTGATTTATAATAAGAAATATGTATTTGGTCTTTCTCGCCTTGTCTGGCACAGAGCTCCGAAAACTTGGAATTTCCCATGACCAGAGTGAGGGTGTCTTCTGTTAATGACGTGACTTTTGGACAGCTCCTAGGTCACCTGGGGGGGTGGGGGCTGGTTGCCAGGGGACCCACCCACGTGCTTAGAAGGTTGGCACTTTCAGTCCCACCCCCACCCCAGGGAGGGCAGAGAGGCTAGAGGTGGAGATCAGTCGCCAGTGGTGCGTGAGGTGATCCACCGTGCCTCTGTCATGAAGCCTCCACCCAAACCTAGAAAGGATGGGGTCGGAGGTGCCCGAGAGCATGGGGAGCGTGCCCCCTTCCCACATGCCTTGCCTTTGCCTCTCCTCCACCCGGCTGTCCCTGAGTTACATGCATTTACAGTAAACCAGTGATTAGTAAGTAAAATGTTTCTCTGAGTTCTGTGAGCCATTCTGTGGTATAAACACTTTCACCACAGAGCATTCCAAGCAAGTAAGGTGATCGTGGGCTGGCTTGTAGACTTCCTCAAAAGTTCACAGTGAGTACTCTTGGGGGTTCCAGCTGGCTGCAGCGCATCCCTGCCTGTGTACACCTGTGTGTCCATCACCCATATCAAGACTTAGAACATTTGCGTCATTCCAGCAGCTAGTTACCTGGTGCCCCCTTGCAGTCAGTCCTCACCCCCTGTCCTGAGTAAACTTCTGTTCTGATTTCTATCACCACTGATTAGATTTTCATATTCTAGAACTTCATAAAAATACTGTGTGTATATACATATATATATATATATATATATATATGTTATTTTTTTGGTCTGGATTTTTTGGGGCGGCTGAGATTTGAGATTCACCCATATTGCTGTGTTTATCTGGTGGTTTGTCTTTTCTATTGTGTGACTGTATTTGTAGGTATGTTGTATGGATTGACTACAATCTTTCCCTCTGTTGATGGACATTTGGGTTGTTTCCAGTGTTGGGGTTTTCTGAGTAATTTTGAAAGTACTTGAAAGAGTATGAAAGCAGGAGGTTCTAATATTCTTGGCAAAGACTTTCTGGTGGAAAGAAGGGTTGAGTCTTAAAAAATTTTTTTTATTGAAGTTTAGTTGACCTACAGTGAGAAGGGAGGGGCCTTGATGCTTTAGATTTTACTGCTGAAAATAAAGGAGTTTCTCGGAAAGTGTTGAGCACGTGGCTGGTATTCAGTAAATGTTAGTGGAATCTCAATTTGGTGAAATTCTGTTTCTAGGCCCAGTGACCAGAAATAAATTATTTCTTTGAGCAGGGTCAGAATGAACCTTTCTAGAGAAAGGACAATCTGGACTATTAAAACAAAAACCCTCAGAGATTCTGTCGTCTCATTTGATACAGCCACTTTGGGAATATTTCACAATTTTAACAGTTAGGGGAAATTTTCTATGTTAAAATTTTATATTATACATCTAAAATCTAGTTATTATACATATGAAGTGGTTTACTTTATACACATTTTCTTTTTAATTTATATACATTATCTCATTTAAATTGTACTGTAATGTTGCAAGGTCAACCCCTCCCCCCTTTAAAGATAAGGAAGACTGAAGCTCAGAGATGTTAAGTGACTTTCCCAAGTTCACGAAGCCAGTGGGAATTTGACCTCAGTTGTCTGACTCCAAAATTCTTGCCTTTTTTCACTGCAAGGTGTTGGCTCCGCTCACATCTCCGGACAGATGGGCAGCACTTATTACTGAAATAATTGCTGCCCAGTTTCCTTGGTTCCCTTTGAACGGTAAGCAAACCATACCGTATTTTCACTTTTTAAAAAAGATCTCACCAGTACACTTCCAACAGGCTCAATACTGCCTAATTTAGGTCAGCAAATTGAAAATACCTGCAGAAAAGTTTGGAGTTGGCAAGTCGACATGCTACAGAGTGATCAGCAGGTGGCGCAGTTTCCACGCTATTGCGGTGACCCGCACACCCATCCGGCCACCAGGGGGTGCTGTGCTGCCCCGGAGACGTGAGAGAGCACGTCTGATGCAGAGAGAGCTCAGTGCGCGCTTCGTCCCTGCAGCCTGCGCCAGAGCCGTGAAGCAATCTCAGTGCTTGCTTTCCCTCCAGCGTGGGCCCCTGCAGCCCCATTTCCCCGTGTCTCCATCCAGCCAGAGCTCTTATGTTAAGAGGCTTCTTTCCGACCAAGTTTAATGCAGGAGTCAGGCTTACGTTCAGTTCTGCTTGAAAAGTACGAAACTGTGCAGACCTCCCCGCGCCGGCCTCTGGGTCCATCGCCTCTCTTCCTTCCTGCTACCTTTCAGGGTGCTCTTCTGATCCTACACATCCCAGGTCCAAGACAGTTTCACAGCGGTGTTGCCTCCCGGCTTCCTAGGCTGGTAGCCCTCTGAACAGTGAGAGGCATGAACAGGTACCCTGAGCAAGCCAGGCACAGTGATGGGAGAGCATCCCAGCGCCATCCTGGCTTCATCCGTCAGCAGAAGCCCGTGGCTGAGACACAAAACTGGGTTCTGTTAACGCGCCATCACTTAAGGCAAACGTGAATTTCTTTGGCAGAATCTCTAGGGCAGAAGAAGCGCACGTCCTTGACCCTGTTCTTGCCATGTTTCCAGTCCCTGGGGGTTTCATCAGAGCGAGGTGGGAACATGAGACCTGGGAGGCTGCTTGACCTCGGCTGGAGGCGAAGGCTTCACACCTGCCTTCTCCTTTCCAAAGCCGTCCTCCCAGCCGGCCCTGGGCCCAGAGCAGATGGCTGCAGGCTTCCGGGGCCTTCCCTCCTCAGCTGTGACGCCAGCACGTCCTGGAGTCCAGAAATCTTTCATTGAGCTGCACAAGGTTTGACTTCTAGGAAGCGCATCTCTCTCAGGCAGGGGCAGGAGGGAAGAGGGAAAAACCCAAGGCTGGAGACAGAAGAATGTGAATCTGGTAGGAACTGGGCGCATCTGACTGTCACTGAGGGACTGGGTGAAATTGTGGAGGGCGAGGAACCTAAGGCCGTAGTGTCTGACTCAAACCTTTGCCCCATCTCCAGGGGTGATGTCAGAAAGCAGGGAGGGAAAGGATGCAGTCTTCACTGAGCTCAGTTCTTAGATACTTGGCTAAAAGCTTCTGTGCCCTATGTGAGCCCTGGGCCAGCCTAGGGTGTAGGTAATGGGACAGAGGCCAGGTCAAGCAGATCTGAGTTTGAATCCCACTACTTATGGAGGTTTTAACTGCAGACTGGGGCTGGCTTCCTCTTGCGCGGAGTGTGGACAGCAATTCTGCCTCATGCTGTGAGTGTTCAGCTGGATAAGTACACATAAAAGCTGTTGGTACAGGGCCTGGCCGGTGCCTGACACACAGTACGTAGTGGTGACCGCTGTATTGCGCTCCCTCCGGCAGAACCTTCGCTCGACCTTATAGAACAAATTCAGAAAAAACATTCCCTGCTCTCCAAAAGTGCTCATGTGAAATCACCAAACTTTTGTTTGGCCAGCTAAGATCGATGGTATGAGAAGTACTGAAAATCCTTGAACTTCAGGCAGAATCAGGGGTGGGAAGCAGCCAGGACCACAAGGGGAGCCTGCTCCCCCATGGAGGGCGGGGCGCCCGGCTGCCGGCTCCTTCCTGCCTCACCCCGCCGTCCCCTGGGGCCGGCCCGCCGTGGCCAGGCTTCCCTTTGTTGTGCGGGTGGAAGGCTGTTTCCACCCTTGAAGAAGTCCAAGTAACTGACCAAAGAAGAGGGACTTGAATCAGGTCCAAGTTCACGCTCACATGTGCCCGCTGATGCCCACACATCAGTCGGGAGTTCGACGGGAGACAGCGGTGTGCGCTGAAGGCTTCACGGAGGAAGCAGCACTGGATTTGGGTGGAAGGAGGGCAGAGGATGGAGAACTGGCTTTGGGACTCTACACCCTGCCATGCATCCGCATCTCTCTGCACGGTTCTTGCTTCCACGTCAGTCGGGCAGCATCCACGCTTACCTGCCGCTCAGCTCAGGGAGGGTCCCGTGAGGCCAGTTTACCCAGTAGCTTCATCACGGGCTTCAGCCACTGCTGTCTTTTTACCCGTGGGAAAAGGCAGAGGTTCAGGGGCTTGTCCCTTCCCCCGAATGCTCGGACTCTGGGGCTCAGCCTCCCTCGGGTCCCCCACACCACGGCTGCAGGGGACTGATGTCCACGTGGGTAATCCCACGCCTCTGAGCTGCCCTGGTTCCCTCCTGAAGTCTGCAGGGCATTACGTGCTATATTGAAAGGAACCCGCCTGCCACTGACCGGAGGAAGGGGATTGTCACCCCGGGGGACACTCAGCTGCTGTTCCCCTTGGAGCCACGGACACACAGGCCGGGGGTTTTCATCTCCTTCTGGCTCTGTCTTCAGCTTTTGGGTAGGCTCAGGCACAGCTGAGGGCATGGTGGTGGGAGTCATGGTGGGAGCCCCGCGGCAGGTCCCAAACTCCAGGGCGCGTGAGGATTGTGTGAGGAGCTTGCGAAGCTGCACGTGACACGGAGCCGTGCCCAGTGTTCCTGAGTCAGGAGGCCGGGGCTGCTGCCCGGGAGCCTGCGTCTTTAGCAGGCAAACCAGTGGTTCTGATGAGTGTGGGTCGTGGGCCACACTTGGTGAAAGACAGTTGGAGACTGCAGCTCGTGGGCACTCTGTCAAGGAGGCAAAGGAAGTCAAACAGCCAGAGGTGGACCCTGTAGCAGAGGAGCGATTTTGAACAGAGTGAAGAGGATGTTGGTTAAAGAAAACTGTCACCTCACAGGCTCAAGAATGCTAAGCACAGGGATTTCCAGCTGTATTTCAAGGAGACCTCCAGTCCTCTGGAATCACTGATGTGGGGATGCTGAAGTTGGGGATGATGGTGATTTGGCATCAACTCTATTTCACCCAGAGCATCTTCACGCTGATCCACTTTTATCTATGCGGGTTCCACATAAGACTTCATTTACTGGGCACTGCTGAAAGAAGGTGGAAAATCACTAACCTAGAGAAAAAGTTTCAGTGCTTGGAAACACCTTGATCTCCCTGTAACTTTTGGAGCAGGAGGCCATCAGGTCTGGATTGTTCTATCTGCAAAAGCAGAACAACTTTGGACAGGATGCTTCTGTCTTCTCATTTCCTTTCTCCCTTTAAGCCACTTGTTCTGTAATTTTTGGGTCTTCCAGATCCATCTGAGAATCAGACGAAAGCTTTTTATCTTTCCTTAGAAAAATGCACACATATGCACATACCTGCAAACTTGGGCATCCAATTTCAGTGGGGTTCGTGGGCTCCATGAAACCCATCTGGAAACTTGGTGATCACTTCCTCCTCTAAACTTTTATTTTATTATATATATATTTGTTCTAGAAGTTTCAGTGTTATTTTTTTTTTTTCAGGTCTTCTCAACCAGACCATAAGTCTTTTGATTGCAGAACCTGTGTATCCTGTGCACCAGTGGCTTCTAAAGTGGGAGAGCAAGGTGATCCGTTGCGGTGTAAGAAGAAAACATTAGAACCTCTGCTTATTTTTAATCTTACCTCTTCTGATTTCTGCTTTTCTGTATGTTCTATAATGCTCCTTTCATTATCAGAATAGGTAATATTATTTAAATAAACCTACCTATTATATATTATATATTATATAGGTAGGTTTACTTAGGGATGCCTGTTGAAAACTTACTGACAAAGATACGTGATTTCAAAAGTTAGGAACACCCTGCCTAACTGAACTTCTCTGCTTTGTTGTTGCGGGCACTGAGCATTCTGCTGGGCGTTGGAGGTTCACCCCAAATCCGTGTGGTTCCGTCTCTCCAGGAGGGAGCTTACAGCGTACACTTGCACATGGTTGGTGCTTCGTTGTGAATGGAGGAGCTGAGCTTGTGTCTGGGTTCTTTACTCCAAGCCAGTAACTATGCGACGAGCTTGTTTTTAAAAAGAAGGGTCTCTCAATGAATATTTGAAAAGAACCTCCTCACGCCCTTGGCCGACGTTCCTGGGACTCCTGGCTTCCAGGGCGAGTTCCTCGCAGGGATGCGTGAGCTGGTGTGAGGTGTCAGGGAGAGCGTCTAGGTGGAGAGGCATTCTTGGCAGGACGGGCAGGCGAAGCTCAGGGGTCGTACAGCAGTTCCACTCCTGTTACTTAGATTTTGTTCGACTGGGTCTCAGGGAGATGCTGGTGATCACGGGGTAGAGGTGGGTGTACAGCTAGCCCAAGCCACTTCATAGTGCTGCCTCAGGGTATCCTGAGCAAGTGAAGTAAAGACTGGGCAGGGGAGGCGAGATGAGAATGCAGCAGGAGAGCCAGGGTCCCAGCAGCTCTGCTGAGGACCCTGCAGTGGGCAGAGGATCAGACCCAAAGAGAGAATGTGTCTCGTAGCAACTGCCAGACTGCACCCATCTCTCAACAGCTGTCAACCATTTATTAGTGGGACTCTGCTGAAGCCAAGGGGAGGCGGAGGGAGAGCAGACAAATGGAGGAAATAAAATTGTGTTAATTACCAGTCCATTTCCATGATGCAGAGGTGACCCGGTCTGTCATCTCCCGCCCCGGGGCTGGGGTTTTGTTGAGTCTGACATTTGTGGGCCAGCGCTCCCAGCCGGGCATCTGTTGGCCCCGTTGCCATGGAGACAGCAGCTGCAGCAGCGTCTCCTTTGAGAATGTGCCGCCCAAGATTTCGGGAACCATTTTGGAAGCATTTGTCCCGACAGTGCGGGCTAATCTCCCTTTCATTTGTAATTATTTTATCGCCTTGATTCTCTGCTTTGGCATCGTTCCCAAAGCTAACTCTGCTCCCCGACACTGGGGTCCGTGGGGAGGTGTCAGCGCCCCGGCCCCGTCTGGGTGGAGATGAAAGGGCCGTGGAAGGCAGAGCCGTCCGGGGAGCACTGCGGTCTTCAAACAGGCCCTGTCTCCTGTCCGCAGCCCTGGGAGGGCCCGAGCCGATTGAAGTGGCCCGAATTATGAAGCCCAAAGCCTTTGAGGCAAGCCGCCCCATCCAGGCCAAGAATAATTGAACAAATAGTTTATCTGGCTAACCAACAGCTGTAGAGCCCGGGCGATTTGGAGAGGATTAGGGGAGAGCCGTGAGAGGATACTCCCACAGGGCCCTTCAAATCCTCATCCTGAATTCTACCAGCGAAGAACACATGTTGAAACCCTGAAACTGCTTTTTAAGTCCATTTCTCTCCTTTTCCAAGTGACTCTGTTCAGTGCTTCCAAGAATTTTAACTGGCTAAGGCAACCAGCTTTGGGGTCCCTGCTGTTGGGTTCCTTCAGTTGCCCCCTTCAATCCCCCCAAACTTTGTTTCATCCCAGACAGCTCGGATTCATGTGGAAACTCTGATCCCTCTGGGAGGTGCCTGAGGGCGGCTGCCTTGTCCCCAAGTCTGCATTGCTGGCAGCTGCTGTAATGTCTAAAGGTAGTGCCAGGGCCAAGTTCAGGTTGGGAGAGAAAAGGAGTCCAGGGGGGCTGAATGGAGAGAGAGGACACAAGGAATCCTCTTCCCTGTGCAAGAAGAAATTGAAAAAAAAAAAGGCTCCAAACGGACCAAAGATTTAAATGTTTAAAAAAAAATCCATGTAAGTACAAATGAGACCTTGGGAGGACGTGCGTTAAAACCTTTATAACCCTGAGGTGACGAATATGTTTCTAACTCTGATTCAAAATCCAGAAATCATAAAACCATAGAAATCATAGAAGACCGATAAATTTAACAATATGAAAAAGTCTGCGTGGCAAAACATCACAGGCGAGTAGGATAAACTAGGAAAAGCATTTGCAGCTCACTTCACAGATACCCATCAGCAAAAGACCAGAAACCCCAAAGGGCGTTGGGCAAAGGCTGTGGGCAGACAGTTCACAGGGTGGAAAAAAGAAATGGCCCCAATTACGTAACAACGGTGTTCAACCTCACTCGCGTGACAGGAGCAACGCAAATTAGAACTATGCTGAAATACTATTTTTAACCTATCAGATTGGAAAAAGTCCAAAAATTTGACAATGTGCTGTGTTGGTGTACCTGTGAGGAAACCAAACTTTCCTTCCATTAATGCTGGCAGGTAGAATGGGGAGTCATTTGGCAATATCTGTCAAAGTTATACGTGCACTTAATCTTTGAGCCAACAATAACTCTCTTGGGGACTGACCTAATAGAATTGCACGTGTCCATGATGACCTGCAAGATTTGTTAACTGACACTGGTTTTTACTAGTAAACAACTGAGGGGGGATGGTTAAAAATAAATTCATCAAGAGGCAAGTATTTAAATAAATCATGGTACCTCCCCACAGGGGAATACTATGTAGCCATAAAAAAGAATGAGGCTGCTATCTAGGAACTGATTTCCCAGGAATATTAAGTGAAAAAAGTCCAGATGCAATGGGGTGTATACAATATGCTACCTTTCCTATAAATAAGAGTGAAAATAAGAAGACTGCTGCATTTGTGTCACTTTACAGAGACTCTGGGGAAGGTAGAAGAGGCTGGTGAAATGGCTTAGCTGTGGAGTGGGGAGGAGGTAACTGGGGTGGGAGTGAGACCGCATGTGTACCTGTTTGTGTGAGTTGATTTGGGGCTAATGGAACACCGATTCTGAAAAATAAAACCACTTCATGCAAGAGACAAAAACAGAACATAGTGAAAACAGGACCCCAGACCCAACAATGAGGTCATCTGCTGCTGCCCGAGTGGGGCTGGAGGGCAGCAGAGATGCCCGCCACCCAGTCTTGTCACAGGTGTGGGCCATCCGCCTGGGCGCAGGGGGTCAGCGCCCTGGACAGCGTGGCCCTCCACGGCCTCCCGTCCTAAGCGGCCTGGGAGGGGGGCCGGAACTGGGGGACCCCGGCATCCTCGTGGATGCCAGCCTGGGAAATGTATGCCTCTAAGTCTGACTGTGTGGCTCCTCCAGGGCTCCCTCCCTTTTCTTCACGGGAATCTCACCAGTCCTTAAAAGCAAGGCGCAGCCCAGAGAGCCCTGCACCCTAAGGCACCTGAGATTTTGGGTCCCCAGTGGATGGTCTCATTCTTTCCACTGCGTGAGAATCTCTGGACGAGGAAGAGTGACCTGGATGAGCTGTCCAGCCTCTGCAGGAAGACAGACAATAAACACGGACGTAAAAACAGTAAATGAGGTGATTTCAAGGAGTCCCAGGGCCATGAGTAGACGCTGCTTTGGCTGGGGGCTGGTGGAGGGCCCTGAGGCAGTGGTGGTGGCTGCACAGGGACCAGGCCACCTTGGACGGGTTTGGATAAGTAAGTGCAAAGGCGAGAAGTGAGAGCAGCTTGAGGCGCCCTGGAAAACGGGGCGGGGGCTGCGCTGGAGCACAGGGTGGGGGCCCCGATGACAGCGGAGGCTGGCCTGGGCCTCGATTATGCCTCGCTGGCTCCAGGAGAGGGCTTGGATTGTATTCTAATTGCAGTGGGAATCCGCTGAAGGATTTTAAGTAGGGGAGTGATACAGCTTGATTTAGTTACAGATGCTGTGGAGATAAGCATGAGAGAGAGAGAGACAGACGGACAGAGAAGATACTTTTGTCCATATATATTAGAAATGCAAACTGAGAAGTTTTAAAAAGTGTAATTAAAAATAACATCAATACAGCACAGGGAACTATATTCAATATCTTACAATAACCTTTAATGAAAAAGAACATGAGGACGTATATATGTACGTACATGCGTGACTGGGACACTGCTGTGCAGCAGAGATTTTGACACCTTGTAACCGACTGTACTTCAATAAAAAAATAACATCAATAAACCCATCATATGTTAATATAACACAATTTTAATTAAAAAAACCCTATACTTTCCAAAGCAAAGACATTTTAAGGAGAGTGGCATTGCTTTACATGTTTACCGCTCTTTCTACTGTTTGGTTTAAGAGAAGACGGCTGATTTCTCACGTTTGCTTCTGAATAAAATGTGTTGGGATGTGTTGTTTACGCTGAAATATTTGGAGAAAGTCTGGCTTCACACAAATACGTAGTTGTAAAAAGGAGAAATATTTAAATAATCGGGGATATTTTTCTACTTGAAAAATTGACAAGTAATCGTTTCTTAAAGTTTAGTTGCGATGTGGCCTCTGAAGCCTCATCAGTGAAATTTGTACTCTGTTAGATCAAAATCCACTGGTCAGTCCAGAGCTTGAGTGGGTCTCCACTCCTGTGTGATTTAATGACATCATGCACCGGTCATTTGGAAAACAGTGACTCACGGAGTTTCGCAGATCTTTCAAATGCTGGCGAATTTCACTCGACCAGATAAAAACCGTCGCATTTGTTAGTAACACCACTGACGTCACTGGAAAAGTCTGCAAGGGGTGGGAAGGCGTCTAGTTTACAGCGGTGGACACAAGTTTTCCAAAACTCTATTTTTGCTTGAAAGGTCAAGTTTGATCACTGGCACACGTGTTGTCAGCTGCTTCCATTGAAGTGACAGGCTCATTTTATTTATTTTTGCGAGAAAGTCTCTAGATATTCGTGTCTGAATAAGCCCAGTTTGTCAGTCACCCTTTCAAGGGACAGTAGTGTCCCGCAAAAGAAGCGGCTCATGCAGCTTGAATTCAAACAGCCCACAGTTGCATGTTTTCTGGACAGGGTTGTGCTCCGAGTGCAACGCAAGTGCTCAATGTGTAACTTTTTAAAAAGGTGTGTAACCGAAGACTGAGACTTAATAAGATTCTTGTTTTTTAACTGTTTCAATGAGGACTTTTTTTTTAATAGAAGTATAGTTGATTTACAATATTGTGTTAGTTACAGGTATACAGCAAAGTGAATCAGTTGTCTATATATGTATATATATATATTTCAGATTATTTTCCATTATAGGTTATTACAAGATATTGAACATAGTTCCCTGCATTATACAGTAAATCCTTGTTGCTTATCTATTTTATATATAGTAGTTTGTTATCTATTAATGTGTTACTTCTTTATTCCTCCCCCTCCTCCCTTTCCCCTTTGGTAACCTTAAGTGTGTTTTCTATGTCTGCAAGTCTATTTCTGTTTTGTAAATAAGTTCATTTGTATTACTTTTTTTTAGATTCCACATACAAGTGATATCATATGATATTTGTCTTTCTCTGTCTGGCTTCATTTAGTGTGATAATTGCTAGGTCCATCCATGTTGCTGCAAAATGGCGATACATCATTCTTTTTTTGTTGGCTGAGTAATATGTATGTGTGTGTTTGTGTGTGTGTGTATGTGTATATACACCACAAATTCTTTATCCAGTCATCCGTCAATGGACATTTCAGTTGCTTCCATGTCTTGGCTGTTGTAAAGACTGCTGCTGTAAACACAGGGGTGCGTGTATGTTTTCGAATTAGAGCTTTTGTTTTTGCCAGATATATGCTCAGGAGTGGGATTGCTGGATCCTGTGGTAAGTCTATTTTTAGTTTTTTAAGGAACCTCCATATTGTTTGCTGTAGTGGCTGCACCAGTTACATCCTCACGAGCAGTGCAGGAGGGCTCCCTTTCCTCACCGCCTCTCCAGCATTTACCATTTGTGGGCTTTCTGATGATGACCATTCTGACTGGTGTGAGGTAATACCTCATTTTGGTTTTGATTTACAGTTCTCTAATAATTAGCGATACTGAGCATCTTTTCATGTATCTGTTCCCTATCTGTATGTCTTCTTTGGAGAAATGTCTGTTCAGATCTTCTGCCCAGTTTTAAATTGGGTTGTGTGTTTTTTTGATATTGAGTTGTATGAGCTGTTTATATATTTTGGAAATTAATCCCTTGTTCGTAGCATTGTTTGCAAATATTTTATCCCATTCTGTAGGTTGTCTTTTTGTTTTGTTGATGGTTTCTTTTGCTGTGCAAAAGCTTCTAAGTTTGATTAGGTCTCATTTGTTTATTTTTGCTTTTAATGCTTTTGCCTTGGGTGACTGACTTAAGAAAATATTGCTATGATCTATGTCAGAGAATATTTTGCCTGTGTTCTCTTCTAGGAACTTTATGGTGTCATGTCTTATGTTTAGGTCTTTAAACCATTTTGAATTTATTTTTGTGTATGTTGTGAGGGAGTGTTCTCATTTCACTGACTTACATGAGGCTGTCCAGTTTTCCCGGCACCACTTGCTGAAGAGACTGTTTTTTCTCCATTGTCTATTCTTGCCTCCTTTGTCGAAGATCAATTCACCATAAATATGTAGGTTTCCTTCTGGGCTCTCTATTCTGTTCCATTGATCTGTCTGTCTGTTTTTGTGCTGGTACCATGCTGTTTTGATGACTGTAGCTCTGTAGTATTGTCTAAAGTCTGGGAGGGGTATGCCTCCAGCTTCCTTCTTTTTATCATCAAGGACATTTTTAAGTGAAACCGGATTTTTCATTTTCCATGAGTGCATGCAAGGATTATGGTGTCTGCTGGTGAAGTTTGGTATCATCACCTTGATTCGTGCTAGGCACCAGCAGTTTTATCCACCAGTGCAACTGTGAACGTGATGAACAAGAAAAATAATATCTCAGTGCTATCTTGAAAGTAGTTTTGACCTCGTAAACCTCCAGAAGTGTTTGGGAGACCCCTCAGTGGCCTGTAGATCACACTTTAAGAAACATGGATATAGGTTACTGAGTGTTCAAAATATATAAGCATTGAAAGTCTTGTCTCACAGCTGCGTTGTGATAGAAAAAACAATCTGATACATTTGGCATGTGCCACCTGTGATAAAGGGAAGGTCTTTCCCTGTGGGGAAGTCTCTTGCCCACGGATACCACCCACATCTACTCTCCTTGAACAGACACCATTTAGCTACATCATAACATCTGTGTTAAATCCATGGCTCCCCCGTCACCTTCCCCAAACCCTAGTATCTCCCCAGAGTATTTCAGGCTTGGCAGGCGTTGGGTAGAGCTGCATCTGACTTAAGGGAAAAAAAAACCCCAAAATGCCACTCATTTTATCATGCACGCACCGCAGAAGGTCTGTGAGTAAATATTTCCCGCTTCATGTGATTACTAAACGCGACCAGAGCGCTCCAGGTGTTTTGCTTTATGGGTGATTGAGCTCTGTTAGGACAAGGCTTTGGATCGTCTTGGATAATTCTAGGAGAGCGATCAGGGAATCGTGTTCCTGGATATGCTCCCACACCAAGGGCCCGCCTCTCACTTGGTGCTTTAGACCTCTGTCCCTGGCCGTAAAACACTCTCCTAAGGACAGTGACACTTTTTCACTCCGTCAGAGAGGGAAGGAATGCAGCCGGTGTCCACCCCCGGTGCCTGTGCCTCTGAATTTGTAGTGGGTGGGCCTAAAATGCTGGAGGAGGAGGGGGCTGGGAGGGGCGAGGAGGGGCGGGGAGGGACCGCAGACCGGCATTTTCACCATCTTTCTTCTTTGAGATCTTATGGGTCGTGTTTTCATCTGTAAATGTTGGCAGCTGGGCTGGAGGACTCCTACCGGTCCTTCTGGATTTGCACTTAGCAATTATGGGGATTCTGGAAATTACTGATGGGGCTGGTGGGGTGAGGGTGGGCCCAGGTGACTTTACACAAGTTCTCACTGTCACCTCTAGGGGGCGGGCCAGCCCTCCCCACAGCCTCGAAAAGTTAAGCAGCCAATTCTTCAGCACTTCTCAAAGTTTCCAGGAACTTCTGAGGTCCGTGGTGGGGTGGGCTGTCCTGA